AGGAGGCGGGCACATTCAAGGCTGAGCGGATCATCACGTCGTCGCAGAGTACCCAAATTACGGTTCAGGGCAGCGACCAGCGGATACTAAACTTCTGTGCCAACAATTATCTGGGACTGGCGGTAAGTCCTTAGATGATGATATATTATTCCGCTACTAACAAGTACTCTTCGCTGGTAGAACAACCCAGAGATCGTGGAGTACAGCCGGAAGCTGCTGGAGAAGTATGGAGCCGGTCTGAGCTCGGTTCGCTTTATCTGCGGCACTCAGGACATCCACAAGCAGCTGGAGCGAAAGATTGCTCAGTTCCACGGCCGTGAGGACACCATTCTCTATGCCTCGTGCTTCGACGCCAACGCTGGCATTTTCGAGGCCATACTCACGCCCGAGGACGCAGTCTTCTCGGACGAACTGAACCATGCATCGATCATTGACGGCATTCGCCTGTGCAAGGCCAAGAAGCAGCGATACAAGCACCGCGACCTGGCCGACCTGGAGCGGCAGCTGCGCGAGAGCGACGGACGTCTCAAGTTAATTGCAACCGATGGCGTCTTCTCGATGGACGGAAATATAGCCCCGTTGGCGCGGATTGTCGATCTGGCCAAGAAGTACAATGCCTTGGTTTTCGTGGACGAGTGCCACGCCACCGGCTTCTTTGGCGCCACCGGACGCGGCACCGAGGAGTACGACAATGTCATGGGCGAGGTAGACATCATCAACTCGACGCTGGGCAAGGCTTTGGGAGGCGCCTCTGGAGGTTACACCACCGGGCCCTCGGAGCTCATCTCCTTTTTGCGCCAAAAGTCCAGGCCGTACCTGTTCTCCAACACCCTGCCGCCTGCCGTCGTGGCAGTTGGACTGAAGGTTATGGACATGCTGCTTGCCTCCAGCGAACTCACGCAGCGCGTCCAGAGCAACACGCAGCGCTTCCGGACAGCCATGACCAAGGCTGGCTTCACCATAGCCGGAGAGAACCATCCCATTTGTCCCGTGATGCTGGGCGATGCCCGGCTAGCGTCCAATTTTGCCGATCAAATGCTAAGTAAGTCCATCAGCCCCTAAGGATCTCTTTTCCATCCACTCATTGCGATTCCTGTCTTAGCTCGCGGCATCTACGTGATTGGATTCAGTTATCCGGTGGTGCCCCAGGGCAAGGCGAGGATTCGCGTTCAAATCTCCGCTGCCCATACAGAGGCTGAAATCGACCGGGCCATTGACGCCTTCATAGAGGTCGGTCGCTCTCTAAAGGTGATCCAGTAGGACAGAACCCAAACGGCCATGTTGAGTATCTTGCATTTAAACCAAAGAAACTGCTTGCATTTATCTAAAGAATCTAATAAATATTAAATTGTGATTAATTTCCTTTGATGATTGATCAGAGGGGATACAGATGGGCATCACAGTTCCTATTGGCTCGAGTGGAAACTTTACACCATTGTTACTTCCGCTAACCGTCTAACCGACTTCTTAAGTACTAATTACAGCCCTGCCTGAATCCACAGCATTCATGGTCATGGCACGGATATTGATAGCCCGATATTAAGATACAAGAACCTGTCGCAGTGTTTATGGTGTGGCTTTATTTGGTTCGTACGATTAACTAAGGATCCTTTACTAAGTAAACGATAAACTGTTGATAAGCAGTTGAACTTAAGCGTAGATTGCACGGTAAATGAATGACTGGCCGCGAGGCCGCTAAATGCAGGCGCCAAGAAAACGCCGCAAACTAAAGCGAGAGTGAGCACATGCATGCGCACACCTAATACATAAATAATTCAGTAACAAATAATAAGAGTCGTTAACAAACAAGAAAAAAAATAAAACAAAAAACACAATTAATTAAGGAAAGCGTTGACCCTGCTCTGATGCAGACTTACGAGTATGTGGCATCAGCTCTGACTATAATACAACAGATCTGTGAGGGTGGGTGAGTCTTCAAACAATAAGGAAACTTTTACAAAGCGCTTGTGAGAAATGTGAGAGGAAATGTGGAGATTGGGCTAGGCGTATCGGTTGTACATATTGCGATGACGTTGCCGTCCTTGTGTGACTATGAATACTTTGGTTAGTGTGCTTGTTCGAATGAGATTGGTTAGATTCGAGTCGTATGGCGGCGCGTGTCGATTACTTGTTAACGAGGCCGCGTGCCTTCGGGTAGGCCGAAGCCGGCTTCTTTGCCGGAATACGACCCGTGGGCGGACGTCGGTTGGAGTCGAGAGCCGTTCCGGCACTGGGCAGACCACGGCTGGACTTTATGTTGCGTACATTGGGCATGGAGCCGACGCCACTGCCGGCAGTGTTGGCGGCCAGCGGTCCAGCACCAGAGCCAGGTCCCCCATTGGAGCTGGAGTTGGCGTTGATGATGTTCTCGAGGCGACTGCGCAGCGAGTTGGTGTGCGAGTCCACAATATCGATGTCGTCGCCGCCCGTTTGCATGGCCTGGGCTAGCACCGCCTGCAGCGAGGCGGACACCTTGGGCGTGCGGTACTCCTGGGTGGTACGGCATGGCATCTCCAGCTCGTAGCTGACTATATTCTCGCTCTTAAAGCGCAGAGAACTGGGCGCATTGGACTTGGCCTCCTGCAGGGCGTGCTCGGACGTGGGCCGTCGACGCTGGGGATGGGAAACGGGGCGCCTGTAGCCCTGCCTTCCATCTCCTCCGGACGGCGGCAGAGGTAGAGGAAAGGAGGAAAACTTCCATTCCTCCTGCTCCTCGTCATATTTGGCCTGTGTGTAGAGACGCTGCTTCACCTCGATGGGCACAAAGTTGTCAATAATAAGCAGCTGGCGCTTCAGCTCCTTGACGAGCTCGTTCTGGGCCATCTCCAGCTCACGCAGGTCCTGGTTGTGGTCGTGCTTGCAGTCATTGAGCTCCTGCTGCAGAGCCAGGTACTTGGCATAGCACTTGGACAGCTTGCGCTTCTTCAGCTCCACTTCCTGCTCCAGTGAGACGTTGCGCTCTCGAATTTCCAGGGTGGTTTCTTCCTGCAGCTCCAGCTGCTGTTGGATCTCGATCTCCCGCTTCTTGCGCTCCGCAATCTCCACCAGCTTCTTCTCCAGCTCGATCTGACGCTCGCTGTAGGTATCCAGCAGATTCTTGCCACCGCGCACCAGCTGTCCTTCTAGTTCGGCAAGCTTTGCAGCCAGCTTGGCGTTCTCGACGCGCTCACGCTCTAGCTCTTCGTTGGATTTGGCCACCTCGGCCTCATTTTCCTTGTCCGACTCGGACTCTGCCCCATCGCCATCACTGTCCCTGTCCTCGTCCACCTGCAGATCCGCGGATGAGGCCTGCAGGGCACTGCCTATCAGCTCCTGTGATATCGGCTCCTTTTTGGGCTTCTTGACGCGCTGCTTTTTGATTGTCCCCTGCTTCTCGCTGCGCTGCTGCTGTTGCGGCGCAATAAGACGCTTCAGGCGCTCGATCTCCTCCTGGTACTCCTTCAGCTTGGCATCCTGCGGATCCTCGTTCTTGATCGGCTGGTTCTGTATGGACTTGGCCCGCGAGGCGTACCGCAGCGTGGTCAGTGTCTCATTGTAGTTGTAGTTTGAGGGCCCAATATTGGCAATCATAATCGTCTTTGAGTTGCCGCCCAGCGAGTCCTGCAGCAGACGCGTCAGCTTCGAGTCGCGGTACGGTACATGGGGTGAGCTCTCGGCCAGAGCCGAGATCACGTTGCCCAGCGAGGAGAGGGCCAAATTGATTTTGCTCGCCTCCTTCAGCCGCTCGGCAGATGCGCCTGTCTTCGACTGTCGCTCGCTGCCAGCCAGATCGATCAGATTCAGTTTGCCCACCTTGATGGTGTTCGTCTCGGTGTCGCACATCTCGATCTTGATCATGAAAATGGCGTGTGAGCTACGAAAGAAAAGACGTATCACTCTATCTCTGTCTATCCCATACTCTGACGCCGATACTCACCGGGAACTGTGCTCGTTCATGTTGGTGAATCCCACGGTGCGATTTTTGTTGCCCACCTTCATGACACGGATCATGTCATCGACACTCTTGCAGTTGATGGCATGCAGATTGGGCACATAGACGCCGGAGCCGCGCTCCCTCACTTCCAGGTGCTTCGAGTTGGGCTTCAGCAGATCGCGCAGCTCCTCCATGTAGATTTCCAGGTAGGAGACATCGACCAGAAACTGAAAGTTCTCGGTGCGATTGATGTGCAGCCAGATCTGCTCAAAGGTCCGTGGAATGATGCCCATCAAGTCGTCATTGCCGCGCACTCCCTCCATGGTGAAGGTCTTGCCAGTGCCCGTCTGCCCATAGGCGAATATGCAGCCGTTAAAGCCCTCCAGCACCGAACTAACCAGGGGAAAGACCACCTCATGGTAGAGGGTCGTCTGCGAGGCGCTGGCATCGTACGCCGCGTCGTATGTGAAGACCTTCCGCTGCTCCTTGTTGGCGTCCACCACATTCTGCAGCTCCACCACGCCCCTGTTCGGATATACGTTGACCACTTCCGGCGAGCCCTCGGATCGCTCGCGATTGCTCATCGGTCGGCATCGCACCACAACCTGGACGCACTCGTTGGGTGTCTGGCTGCTGGCGGTGCCAGGGCGCCTGCTCTTCGCACTCATAACCGCAGCTGTTGTGTTTTTGTGCTCGTGTGACTAAGGCAGCCTTGCCTCTGCTTCTCCCTCTCCACGCACTCTAGCCAGAAGTGGAAGCAGTCACTGGGGCGACGACGAAAAACAAATGACGAATAAAATCAATAATTCCATCCTGAAGAAAACATTCCCAGTGCCCCAAGCGCTTGTACTCTTGAGACTCGCTTAAAATGCCACTTCCCTATTGTTATGGGACAATGGGGCGAAATGGTGTTGCAACAACGGTTTAATTACCTGTATTTTTTAAGCCAATTACTTCACCTTGAATACGTTTTTTTTTTGTTTCAGCTGCTGCTGCCTGTCGGCAGGCGATTACGATATTCACCAGGTATCGATACCTCTCGATGTGTGTTTCCGATAACCGCAATTCAAATGGTACAAGTACTCGATAGTTTCTAAGGAATAATGTATTTTACTTCTTTTTATTAAAGTTCGATTTGCTAGGAGAGCTGGTGTTGTTGGCCCCGCGCTTGCGCTTATTGAGGGGGTTGCGAGGGTCGTAGGCATCGTACCAATCGTCGCCCTTGCTGTTCGCATCCTTTGCCAGGACGGGAGCTGTGCTGTTAAAATTTAACGTGTGCGACAGCCAGTCGTCTCCAACTATCTCTTTCTCAACTGTTCCGTTGTCGAACTCCTTTGGTTCGGCATCTGCAACTGCTTCGTCGTCCTCAGAGCCCTCCTTGTGCTTCAAGCTGGCCACTTTGGTACGGAATTTGGCCAACAACTTTAGTGTGAATTCCTCCCTGATAACAAAAACACAAGACGAATGAAAGAGGGACAAAACCATAACAAGAACTGATCCCACCTGGACTGTCCTTTTGGCTGGAGCTTTCCTTTGGCAGTGTATATCTCCTTCGACTCAATAAAGTCATTGATATAATGATTTTCACTGCCGCCCTTAATGTGTGACTCTTTCTGAGCCTTCTCCGGGCCATTGGCCAGCTTGTCTTTGCTGATCTTGTCCATCTGATATTGCTTTTTAAGAGAAGCAATTTCTTCGCGAATCTTGGTTCTGCAAAGATTAAATTGGTTAGAAAGTACCCAAGGACCTAGTATCTTGATTAGACGTACTTTTCTTTAGAGATATTTAGTTTTTGTTCTTGCTCTCGGGTCATTAGGACGTCCTCGTCCTCCGGATCACTCTCCACAAGGACACTCTTGGTGATCTTCTGGGGCCGGGCATCTGTCTTGGCAGTCTTTGATAGTTTCTTCTTGATGAGGTCGGAGAATTTGCCAGTTGAAGACGTGGCCTTGTCACTTTCCTCATCGTCATTCGGCAAAGGCTCCTCGCTATCAGCACGTTCCTGTTTGGGCACTTGAATCGGTTCCTTGCTTAGCTTCGGATCATCTGTGACGTCGTGCAGCGATTTGGCCTTTCCGGCGTTCTGCTTGACGAACACGGTTGTCTCCACCTCGTCGCCTTCGGCCTCTTCTCCAAACGAAAGCAGCCCAAAGTTTCTGCAGCAAATGGATCATTTGAAACCCAAATCAAACCAATCAGAAAAGAAACCGATGCACACTTACTTTACGCCCTGTCGTTGTTTCTTGACTTTTTTACTTTTCTCGGCCTTGGCGATTGCTCGCGGCACAATATCTTCGAAGGGATTGGTGAGTACCTCGGTGGATAGAATTCGATGAGCGTGCATGGGCCTCTCCTGGTGGTCCACTATGCCGTCCTCCAGCTTGAGCATGTTGTAGATTGTGTCGCCTGTGACCTTGCCGAAGAGTGTGTTCTTGCTCTGAAGCTCGGGAGTCTCTGCGAACGTGAAAAAGAACTGCGAGGCATTGTCGTCTTTGCCCGAGTTGGCCATTCCCATCAGGCCGCGGCGCGTGTACCGCAGTCTCGAATGAAACTCGTCCTTGAACGGCTGCCCGTAAATGGACTCGCCTCCGGTTCCATCGCCGTTGGGGTCGCCGCCCTGCACTATGAATCCTTTCACCAGGCGATGGAATACAGTGTTGTTGTAGTATCCCTCCAAGCATAGTTGCACGAAGTTGCGGCATGCCTTTGGACACTCTCTGGCCCAGAGCTCGATGTCGATGTCGCCCACTGTGGTCTTCAGCAGCACCTTGCCCGAGGTGGGTGGCTCCTGGATGTAAATATTGCTCATTATAGACGACAAACTCTTATATTACAACTAAAACGAAATGCCGAGACCTCAAATCTGACATCAAAATACGGACTGTCGTTGTTTTTAGCGATGCGAATATATCAGTGCCAGAAAATATCGATATTTTGGGGCGATAATTATCGGCAGATGCGTTCCTAGGCAACCGTTTTGCTTTTGATTTTAGTAATTTTTTTTGGAATCAACTGGGAATATCTGAGTAAATAAAATATGAATTTCAACGACGACCCATTGGCGGACCTGCTTAGCGACAACAGCTTAGACAACGACAACTTCTTCGAGAACCCAGCTGGTGCTGGCCACAAGAAACCGCCGAAAATCGCGAAGGCTAAAGGAAAACCGGAAGATCTCTTTGGCATACAGGAGGAAACGGAGGCGGACGTACAAAGCCCCTCCACGTCTGGCCAGGGCACCAAGGGAAAACCCAATGCCACGAGCACTCCGCTCATCGTCAAACAGAAGCCTTCCCTCTCACTCGACGACGACGCGGGCGATGATGACCTGGGTTTTGACCCCAAGCGCCCCAAAAGCGGAGGATCGAAGAGAAATCTGTTTGATGATTTGCTGGCCGTCGCCGAGCCTAAAAAAAACATATTTGATGAGATATTGAGCGGCGGCGATGCCGCAAAGCGTCCGGCCACTGCGAAGCCGTCCATATCCCGCCAGTCGACAGACACCACCACGGAAAACTCGCAGGCACGCCCCAAGACCTCCACTGGACGGCGTAGCTCTGCGCAATCGGCCACCGTCAATGCAGATCCTCTCGGGCTGTTCGGCAAGGACACGAACGCCACAGTTTCAGGGATGTCCACGCCGGTGTCCAAGAAGCGGGGAACGACAGCGGACTGGCTTGGCCTAGAGGCCGCTGCAGCATCCGTGGCAGCTGTGGAACAGGAGCGACCCTCCACTCCGACGCAGCAGCACTCCGTTCAGCAGCAGGCTGCCAAGGAAATTGCTGCTCCTGCTGAAAGCCCTGAAGCACCTGCAGCAGGAGCGTCAGCTCCTAAGCATTCTGGAGACATCCTGCGAATGTCTGACCCAGACGAGGCAGAGCAGTACCTTACGTCAGAGCTACCTCTTGCCACAGGACCTGCTGTCAACCCGGCCACACAGAATATCCTTCTGCTGAATAACCTGAACCTGGAGACGGGCTCCAACTTCAATGCGCTGCAGCAGCAGGAGTGCCAGCTGGTCATAGCAGCGCAAATGAAGAGCCAGGAGCGCACCCTACTGGAGATGCAGCGCCGCCAGGAGGCCCAGGACCGAAAGTTTCAGGCGTTGATCCAACAACAGCTGCAGCGCCAGCAGCAGATGGAGCAGCACATCAAAGGGCAGCAAGAGCGCATCAGCATGCACATCCAGTTGATGATGGCGCAGCCCGCGCACGTCCAGCAGCTAGAGGGACTGCCGCCTGTCCAAAAGCCAGCGCTGGAAAAGCAGGAGTCGGAACAGCAAACAGCAAGCAGAGAGGAGCACAAGGAACAAGAGCTGATGCAGCAGCTGCAGCTGGAGACCGAGTCGAAGCGAAATCTGCTGGAGAAGCTGCGCCTGGAGGAGCTAGTGGCCAACATGAAGGTCAACTACGAGCAGGAAATCGAAATGATCGAGTCCTCGTACAAGTAAGTAGCCGCCTGATCCCCTGTCTACGTTCTGATGGCTCCATTTGGTTGCAGGAAGCAGTTGAAAGTCCTGGAGGAGCACTTGGCCGCGGTCGAGGAGCGACTGAAGACGGAAAACAGCGACTTGCGGCAGCACTTTGTCGACAAACTGGAGAAACAGAAAGCCGACTACGTCGAGCAGATGTCCACCTTGAGGCAGGACCACGAGGATGAGGTGCGTAAGCTGCGCAACTCCCACGAGATGGATCTCGAGGGCATCCGGCAGGCCAAGATGGTGGAACTGTCGTCGGTGCAGGACCATGGAAACTACTTGGAAACGCTCCGCCTTGCCTCGAACAACCTCCAGGAGCTGCGCGATGGGATGAGCAACAGCCAGGACAGGGAACGACTGCTGGAAGCGCGCGAGCGCCGCCTGGCCGACCAGGAGCGCCGCTTAAAGATGAACGAGGACACGGCCGACGAGGAGAAGAGGCGACTCATGGAGTTGGTGAGCACTCTGGAGCTGCAGCTGGGTCGCCTCTCCAAGGACTCGGCGGAGGAGAACTGGCAGCTGCGACAGCGCATGGCCAGCCTGGAGGCCGAGCGGAAGGCCCTCGACCGCGAAAAGGAATTCCACAGAGAACAAATGGAGCGCGACGAGAAGCGGGTTGAGGAGCTCAAGGCCATCCAGCTGGCGGATACGGAGCGGCTGCACCACGAACTGCAGCAGGAGCGCACCCACCTGGCTGTGGAGCGGCAGCAGCTGGAGATGAAGCACAGGCTGCAGGAGCACGGCAACCTCGACCAGGATCGTGTGGAGGTGGAGGCCCAGCTAAAGGTGGCGCAGGAGGCTATCAAGCGGGCCGACCAGGAGCGGGATCGCTGCCACAAGCTGCAGCGTGAGTTGGAGACGCGGAAGCGCCTTCTTGCTGATAAGGAGAACGATTTGAACCTGAAGGAGGATGAGCTCGCGCAGTCCACGACTTCGTATCGGATGGCCACAGGTCGGGCTCAGATGGCAGAGCAGAAGGCACGCGAAGCCGATCAACTGCTGCAGGCCAAGTTGCAGCTTCTGGGCAAGCGGTATCACGACCTGAGCGAAAAGGAGGCACAGTTGTCCCAGGAGCGGATGCTCCTCGCCCAGGACCGCATTGCGATGCACAACCTCAAGAAGCAGATCCTCCGGAGCAGATGCGCGCTCTGCAAGATGGGGTCGGAGAGTGCCGAGTTGGCGCTACGCATTGACCGAAAATCGAAAGGTCAGACCAACATGGATCTCCACCTACCCCCCATGCCGCTCAGCAATGCCGAAATGATGGTCAAAATGGCTGCCGGAACGGAGCCGGGTGAGGCACAGAGCGACATTGTCGACCGCATGCTGGACGACAACATCCAAGCCTCCTATCGCCGGATGTACAACGTGTCCGGGTCAGCCGACGATGTCGATTACGGCTTGACAGGTGGCCTCGACGACGATTCCAAGGTGGCCATGGATAATGGCAAAATAATGGATCCAGACCTGGAAGCCTTGCTATCGAAATTCAATAATGGATTCGGTACGGGTTTGTAATTCCTATTCTATACAAGCCTAAAGTATAAACAAACCCAATGAATTATGGTTGGAACGGTAATTTCCATTCAAAAACTAGCTCGAAATATGCATTTGTCAGTATTTTATAATTTAGTTTATTAAAATTGTGTGGCGTCATGGAAAACAACAACAGAAATATACCTTTTTCAGCTACTGGTGGCACGTCGTCTCATGTGCTGCAGCCCGGCCTCCTGAAGGCCCTCTGCGTGGTGGAGACATCTTCCCTTGCCCGTGAGACGCCGGGCAATTGCAGATGAGATGTTCCAGCGTTTCGATGGATTATCGCATTTTCTGCAGTGCGTACTCCTACTAACATTCCACAGTCCTCCATTGCAATGGACCAATGCATTGGTCCATTTCCATTGTGTTTAAAACCAATTTTAAGAGATTTGTCGAATACAAACAGACAAAAACGGTTGCAAAAATTTTAAACGGAAAAAAATAAATGCTTTTCAATTAAAAAGACTTTTTTATATAAAGAAAAATACTGATTAATTTATTAAGACTAAGCAAGAAAGAATGATCTCAAATAAATTAAACTGCGGTTACCTTTATTTTTAATAAATAAAAAATAAGTGTTTTTTTTTTAAACATATTCACGGTATATTTAAAAAATGAGACGGTACATTTCGGTATATTCCAGAGGTTCAGACGGTAGATCCGCGGTCACACTGGTTGTTAGCTTGTTGCATTCCGTTTTGTGTTTTTCCGTGTTATTTTTGTGTGTTCTGCCCGAGCGAGGCAGCAACAAATGAGTGTTTTTATGTAATTTAATAATAATGTAATTAATATGTTGTAGTGCAAGTACATACGCATAAACAAAGTGCAAGTTAATCAGTATTTTCGCGTATTCCGCTTACGTTTTGTATATTCATTCCGTTTTTGTCATCGCTTGTGTCTGTGCGTGCGTGTGTGTGTGTGTGTACGCCTTTCGTATTCATTTGGATTTAGTCGGTAGGTGTGTGGGAGACAACTTCACCTTAATTCAGCGTCAGCATAGACGTTAAGCAATGAAATAAACCATTGCGAATAACAAAAGACAGAGAAGCACTTCAATTCCTCCTCTGTACATAAAACTTCCAAGAGGGCGGCTGTACATATATTGTGCGGAATAACTGAAACAACACCCGAAATCATCGGTGGAGGTGACACCTAAGAAAGCAAGTAAGTGGCGTCCGACGAGCAAGCGAATAAGAATAAATGAAGAAGAACGAAGAGTGCCGAATAAAGGTGTGTGCAAACGTTAATACCTACATATGTATCCCTTATGTATATGCATATTAATGGCACTCCATTATCGTGTTCGTTCTCCATCTCCATCCATCTCTTTTGCTCCCTTCGTTATGCTCATTGTCGTGTGTGTGTGCCTGTGTGGGTCAACTAGTTTTGAAATTTGCAAAACTATTGCTCTACATTTTGCCGCTCTTCAACAAAAAGCGGCCCAATTTATTTGGAATCAATTCATTTGGTTGCTATTTTGCATGTGTGTGCGCTCTTATTGATTTACCTTAACCTTTGCCGCCTGCCGCCGCCGTAGCTGAAGGTTTTCTTTCTTTTTGCGTCTCTTGCCGGTTGCTGTTTTCTCTTATCTTCTGCTCCTTCGCGTTTCGCATTCAACGGTACATGTGTGTGTGTGGGCGCGTGTGAGTACGTTCAGCATCTGTGTTTATGCTGAACAGCTGTTCCCCCGTCTCCCGTACAGTGGGTCAAAATAGTACAGTGGCCGATCGGAATACTTGAAGAACAAAACTGGCTTAAAGTGGACTCCCGAAATGCTTTTAAATGCCGCTGATAAAACTGAAAACATTTGTTCGACAAATAGCAAGAAATTTGTTCCCTTCATTGTGAGAATACTTTTTCCATCCGCTGTGCGAGTATTGTGTGAATGAGGGAAGCCACACTCGCAGCATTCATTCACACAATTTATGATTGTGGTCATGGAATACGATTGCAGTACTTCCCTCTGATGTGCTCATGTTCACATTTGCTCTATATATATATATATATATATATATATATATATAGCCGCAGTACTACAATAGGAAGTTTCTGCTCGGTTATCACATTCACAATTATACACACAGTACGTTCATGCAATGCTCATTTCTTTCGTATTGTTTCTACAGTCCACCGTCTTCCCGAATCTTTTCATATCAAATTGTTCTGCTATCACTTGGAACCAAAAGTTTGCTACAAACACTATTAAAAATATATGTATATCGCTATATATCTAGTCCTCGTCTAGTCTTCGAACAACTGTTCCTCAAATCCAACAACGAAGTGGTGAATGCTTTTAATCAGTTCCTTCTAATTTCCCAAAAACCTGCAATCAATTTGTTAAATGACGTACTCTTTCTTCGAGTGCTTCGAGGGGGGTGCTATCATTCCCTATTCTCTGCTCTGTAGTTTTGTAGTTTTGATGGCAGTGGCAGTGTCTATCAATACCCGATAGACACCTGTCATTAGGGGCCAGAAGGTACACCTGTTTCCCACCCCTGGCCTCTGTTCAGCGACACGCACGCATTGCACCCACCGGTGTCACTGGTTCCTTTACAGGGCATAATCACTTTTATCATCCGATTCCGTTATCGCGACGAACGCGAATGGCAGATAAGAGAAACAAAGCACACGACAGTCGGAGCTAAAGTTCGGCAAAGGAGAGAGTGAGAGTACACATAGAATTTGGACAAAACAAGTTGAAATTGAAAGAAAAAACAAATTCCAAGCAGTTTTCATTCAGTTGTTTTTCCAGAATTCAACGAGAACGACAACATCACTGGACTGACGCTGCTGCTGTGGGGAGAATATGTCAAACCAGGGCCAAACCGACTACGACAGGCAATTTCAGGATGACTTGGCCAAAGCGACAGCTCTGAGCTTGGAGCAGCAGGCCCTCGACGACTACCGGCGGCATAAGAAGTACGGCACTGGCTACCACTCGGGGGTGCCCAGCGGCGCCTCTGGGCGGGACTACTATGCCCAGCAACGTAGTCAGAGCGTCACCCATCGCCGACACTCCGAGGTGCATACGACGGCAGCCGCGGCCAGCAATGTGGAACGTTCACGCACTCCACCGGCGCAGGTATCCGAGAACGACCTCATCTGCTTCGCCAGTCCCACCAGCAAGCAGCCTGAGAGCGGTACCACCTTCGACAGGCTGATCGAGGACCTGCAGCGGATGCAGCCACCCAGTTCGCACTCGCAGGCGCTGGTGCCGATGGGGCCAGTGGCAGCGGCGACTGCTTCGGTGCCCGCGCAATACGGCTACCACCAGCCACAGCCGCAGCACCAGGCTCAGCCTCAGCCGCCGCCGTATGGAATCGTGGGAACAGCTGGCGGCATGCAACTGGTGCCCTACCAGAACGCGGCTCAGGCACAACAGCGGCCGCTAAGCAACGAGGAGCTGCAGAGGCTTTACAGCATGCCCAACCAGATGGCCGTGCAGCCGGTGCAGGCGGTGCCCACCGCCTACCTCTACTATCCCGGAGCGGTTGTGGCGCCGTACACGGCTCCCATTGTGCCTGGCTCTGCTGCCTTTATGCCGCCGCAGTACCCACAGTCCCATGGATTCGGGTTTGGGCCTGTCTACCAGGGAGCGAGCACCCACATGGATCTGGGGCGGCCACAGAGCACGCCAGTCGCCGTGCCAGCGAGCAGCCTTAGCAGCCACCACCCGTCCAGTAATCCTGTCTCCAATCCCGAAGCCAATGGCGTGAACATTAAGCCCCGACGCCCAGTGCCTTTAAACACCAGCGCCAGCACCAATTCCAATGGCCAACAGCAGCTTCCCAAACGCACTGGTAACGATTTGATAGACCTCAACCAAGAGGACTAGTATGTATCACTATCGTCTACACACAGTTTTCCCCCTTGCTTCGGTTTTTCTAACATCATAATCTCTCTCTCTTCTGCTCCTGCAGCTCTCGTGTGAGTGTACTGGAGGCATTCGATCCCCTGCTAAATGAGAACATTGGTAAGCCCCAAACCCAATTATGTACTTAATCAGACATACCACAATCCACCTACTCTCCTGGGAACTGCAATCCTGTTAGAGACTGATAGAGACAGATAGATATTTCTAGTTTAAAATCATATTTTGTGGGTGAATAGCATTATGTTCGGGGTAAATGTACAAATAGTCTTCAAAAAATATCAATATCAATGTCAAACCCAAACCCAAACCCAATCCCTCTCCCCAGTCGGGGCCAACGTCCTTTGTAGCTCGAGATCGTTTGTAGCAAGTGGTTGCTCGACTTGGATACGAATTAAACTGAATGTTCTTGTTTGTTTCTCTCTGTATTGCAGTGTCGCAAAAGTAACCCAATTTTAATTGAAAGTCCTACTACTACACTACTATCCGTACTACTACCAAAGCAAACTACTGCAAAGCAAACTACTTTACACAACCCACAACAAGTACACCACCATCTAACTGGTTTCGGTACGGTCCGGTACGGTTCGGTTGGGTTTCGGACTCGGTTTCGGTACGGAATCAGTGAAAGAAACAAATTCGTGTCTTAGGCAGCACGCACTTAGAACCACCTACTTACTTATACACCATGTAAACACTATTTTTAAACAAAAGGCTGACTTTGTGCCTTGTGCCATCACCACATCACACACCCAGCGGAAGGCACCCAAATACGATTGGACTTGGCTTCCGATCCGCATCGATCCATAAGATCAAATTTGTTTCAAAACTTAACACAAATCGGTGATTTATCCATCCTCTTGATGGAGCGATGAAGGAGTGCTCCAATGTCCAAGAATACTGGGTTATTCTGAAGTCACTTCCTTCTTTTTTTTTCCCGTTTTTTACCATGTATTACGGAATGAACAGATTGTGATTTGCTGACTCGCTGCTACATTTATACATATACAACTACCAATATAAATACATACATATGTTTAGTTCTATCGTATATCATTTTGTGAGACAAAAACAAATAAACAATTCCTTGAACAAATTCCAGTCCTTGTTGTTTTATTAAACATCGCCTTGCCGCCTTGCTACCAATGCCCGTCGTTTCCCACTTTCAAAATAGTACTAAGACTTTCAATCATTTAACATTTATGTTCCTATAGTATCCTATGTATCC